TGAGACCCAAACTGGCCGATGGTCTGTTCCATCCCATGCCCGGCACGGCCAGGAGAGAGGTGAGGCTCTGGCTGGAAGTTCTCTCTTTTTCTGGGTCATCTGGGTGGTCCCTCCGCCAGGGTCACATCCCTCCCTCGGTCAGCTCTCGGTCTCTCAGACACTCAGGCTTTTACCTCCGTTCTGGGATTGCGGTTTCAGGACTCTCCCTGCTCCGGCATCGTTGGCCGGGAACGGGCTGAGCCTTGGCCATGGAGTGGTGAGCAGTGTCACTGTGTGTCACTCATTTGTATATTTGTATATATCACTGTTATTACCATCATTATTATTATATATTTCCAATATTATTGTAGTTTGGTTATTGAATTGTTCTTATCTCACCCCTTGAGTCTCTTTTCCCTTCCCCCCTTTCATTCTCTCCCTTCCCCAGGAGGGTGAGAGAGCAGTTGTGTGGGGTTGGCTCCCAGCCAGGGGCAAACCCATCAGAAGGTGGGACTGGGATCGTTACATTGTGCCAGGGTGATTTTGCTCCTCTAGCTGGGTTTTGCAACCGAATGGACCTGAGAGTTGGTTTTGAGCTGAATTTGAGGGAGTCCAAGCGCTGTAACATACACCGGGCTCCTCAGTAGACTTGGGAGAAGCTTGAGGATCCTCCCGGACCAGAACTGCAGGAGAGCTCATTGGGAGGTGCTGGGCTGGGCTGGGCTGGGCTGTGCCATACATCCTACAGGAAAGGATGGCTGTGCCATCCTACAGGAGAGATGGGGAGGGACTTTTTACAAGGGCATGTAGTGACATGACGAGGGGTAATGGATTTAAACTGGAAGAGGGGAGATTTAGACTTAGGAGATTTAGGAAGAAGTTCTTTACTGTGAGGGTGGTGAGACTCACGATGCACAGAGGAGCTGTGGATGCCCCATCCCTGGAAGGGTTCAAGGCCAGGCTGGGTGAGGCTTTGGGCAACCTGGGCTAGTGGGAGGTGTCCCTGCCCTTGGCAGGGGGTGGCACTGGGGGGGCTTTAAGGTCCCTTCCCACCCAAACCGTCCTGGGATTCTGTGATTCTATGATATGAGGGCCTCTGAACTCCGCAGCCAGACCAGAACGGCTGCTCAATTTAGACACAGCATTAGGCAGCCCTGGAGAGTCTCTTTGATGCCTGTCAGCCCCTTTCACATCGCAATTTCTGTGGAATTTCAGAAAATCAGATAGTGCCTGAGATCACAGGACCACACAGGATCTCTGAGGTTTGCCCCACCCCTTGCTGGTTGGGGTAGAATAACAATAAACCAGCTGGTTGGGTTGGTCCCAGCCATCCCGCCTAGCGCGGCATTCCCACCTCCACCAGCCCATCCTGCCGTCAGCAGCTGCACGGTTAAACACGAAGCGTCTTTGATTACGTTTCTGACAACCCCACAGTGACAATGGACAGAGATGAAAAAGGGAAGGGACTATTTGAGGGTTGGTTTCCCTTTCAAATATCCCAGCCTGGTTTTTCTCTCTCTCACTTGATCTTCTCATCTAAGAGATTAAAAAAATGAGGTCACCCTGTCCCAGAGATCACAACACACTCCTCTCGATAACCAACCTTTATTTGTGCAGAACTATCACTCTGAGGCTCCCAGATACAGAGAAACGTCCAGCGATGTCCCAGAAGCATCCGATGTATCTGTCTGGCACAACATCTGCTGCCAAAGTCAACCTTTGAGCCTCTTCTGCACTCTGTTTCTTCACAACCTTGGTCCTGTTGCCCCTTCAGTTGACCTGGTAACGGCTCATCAGCTCCATCACCATCCTTTCCTCCTCGCCTTCTTTTTGCATGCCGGTGTCCATGAGCTGGGCTGCCTCCTCCCCGGCGGGGCCACTGGGATGGCCGGCAGTCCAACAGCCCCTGCTCATGCTCTGCAGCTTCTGAAACAAATCCCGGCTGCTCTCCTTCTCCGCCTCGCTCAGAAGATCCACGTTTAACCCGAAGCGCTGGGTGCCCGCCAGGCTCTGGAGGATCTGAAGGACGGCGTCTCTGTCTGCACCGCAGATGTTCTCCGCCAGCACCGCCAGGAACTCACCCAGGAGCCCAAAGCCCAAGTCAGCCTGAAAGATTCTGCCCAAGGCTTTCCCTCCGAGCTCGAGCAAGAGCTGGTATTTTTCTTTTCCGCTTTTTAAGCATCGGCGCCAATCTCTGTAGAATTCGGCAGAGGTTCTGGGCAGTCGATCCAGTTCCTGAAGGAAAAAAAATATCTACTTAATTCCTTTAGTTTTGTTCCCACTTGAAGATTTTTATCCCCCCCATCAACCTGGGGATGGCTGGGATGTTTTTAACTCCGGCTTTGGCAGCACTAAGGGGCTTCATAAAGATTGTGGGGTGGCTAAACAGAAAGACAAAGAAATACCAGGTTCCTCAAGCCCCATAGAAACCAGAGAACTTCAGGGGAAAATAATGGAAGAATGGATGTGACACAAAATCTGGTGTGGATGAACACAGACCAGTAGTGGACTAATCCCAAACCCAACCAGAACCAGACGCTCTGCCCAGTCTGGATCCACCATCACTGCCTGGGATGGGACCTCCTGGAGACCCGACAGTTCAGTGAAAACCTCTGCTCCCTCTCCAGCACCGTGAAGCCAATCGAAGGGGTGAGGAGATCATAGAATTGCAGGATGGTTTGGGTTGGAAGGGACCTCAAAGATCATCCAGTGCCACTCCCTGCCACGGGCAGGGACACCTCCCACTAGCCCAGGTTGCCCAAAGCCTCATCCAGCCTGGCCTTGAACCCCTCCAGGGATGGGGCATCCACAGCTTCTCTGGGCAGGGAAGAAATTCTTATTCTTAATAAAAGACATGAGACGTAAAACCCAGAAAATATGCAGATGGCCCTAAAACACCGTCTCCCAACGTCCTGCGTTTGTACGGTCTGCGGCATAGAGCTCGCAGGAAGAGAGCCAAGCTCCATGTGGCATCTCCAGATAAAAGGAAATCCCATTCGATACAATCTGTAATTGAACCACTGAACTCATCGCCGCCAACTTAACTGACGCACAGACTGAAGGAGGATTAAAATGTTTCGGCTTTTCTGCAGCTAGTGAGAACAAGGCGCAGCAACACCAGGCTGTGTCTAAACCCAACCAGAGGAGCGCTGGAGATGAGAGCCCAGGCGCTAACGGGATTAGGGACAGAATTGGCTCTGGGGAGATCACTGCTCAGTCCAAGCAAACACAACGCTGCCTGGAAGAGTTGCAAAAGGATCTCCTAATAAAGAAGCGAATGAAATTGAGTGTCCAAAAATCCATCAATGGAAACATCCCTGGCAACACGTCCAGGGATTCTCCAGCGTGGGCAGAGTCCACCCGAGGGGGCAGGACAGATGTCACTCAAATCACAAATGAGCTGGCTAGAAAATGTTTAGTCACTGTTTCCCACTGCTGAAGAACTGAGGAGCATCCAAGAACTCATCAAGCAGCAGGTTTTAAACAAAATCGCATTTTTCCATATCATGCATAATTAAACCACGGGGTGAAAAAGAACCAGCTGCGTTCAGAGAAAATCTGCGGTCTGGGGCTATCAAACACGAGGATCCAGACGCACAACCCCAGCTCTCGGTCCCCAAACCGCAGCCAGCTGGAGGAGCACGGTCAAGGGAGGGCACTCTTCCCCAAGAATCTGTTACTGGCCCCACCAGATGCAGGGTACTGGGAGCTCTGGTTCAACGCTGTGCAGCTGGTTTTAGATTCCCAGAGGGTTGAAGCCGACTCCTCTTGCAGCAGCTGGTGCAAGCTCTTATCAGATGCAAAGTCGAGCCAAGACTGAGCCCTGTGGTTGTCTAAACACCAGCGTTCCTGGGGACTTGGAGAGCTTGCTCACATAGAGAGATATTTCTGAATAATTCTCGCGTTTTAAAATAATACCCAAATTATTCTGGAGGAATTTTTAGATGTGGAGAATTCCCACCAAGCGTCTCCCTCACCTGGGATACTTCCACGTCGCTGGCCGGGGGGCCCTTGGCGTGGGCTGCGCAGGGATTCCACAGCACGTTCCTCCTCTCGCCCATCTTGTCCTTTTTCTCCAGGGGCTTCAGGTGGGACGCCAGAACGATGTTCCTGCAGGCAAGAAGAAGAGGATGGGGTACCAAGCAAGATCAAATACTTTGAGGCTTTGAGGTCCTTCTCCAATTTCTGAGTTTGGGCCACATGTATCATCCAGAGGCACCTGGACAGGCTGGAGGAGTTGGGCCATGGGAACCGCGTGAGGTTCAACAAAGGCAAGTGCAAGGTCCTGCACGTGGGTTGGGGACAATCCCCAACATCAACAGAGAGCCAGGGATGAACGGCTGAGAGCAGCCCTGGGGAGAAGGACTTGGGGATCCTGGAGGTAGAAAAATTGGACATGAGCCGGCAATGTGCACTTGCAGCCCAGAGAGCCCATCGTACCCTGGGCTGCGTCAAAAGCAGCGTGGGCAGGGGGACGAG